AGATGCTTAACAAACTGAGCCACTCAGGCACCCCTTCTCTGTTCCTTTCTTGTCTTGCTCTCTTCTCTTGTGGTTTGGTGGCTTTCTTTAGTGATGTGCTTAGATTCTTTCCTCTTTATTTTTTGCATATCTATTACAGATGTTTGATTTGTGGTTACTGTTAGGTTCATACATAATATGCACATAGCAATCTATATTAAGTTGATGTTTGCTTAAGTTTGAAGCCATTTTAAAAGCACTAAATTTTTACTCCTCCCCTCACATTTTAGCTATATGATATCATACTTTACATCCTTTGATTTTATAAAACCTTTCACTGATTTTTATTGATAATATTGATTTTACTGCTTTTGTGCTTTAATCTCCATACTGGTTTTATAACTGATAAATCAACTACTTTTATTATGTTGGTATTTACCTGTGAAATTTTTCCTTTCACAATTTTCTTACTCCTGATAGTGGCCTTTTCTTTCCATTCAGAGAATTCCCTTTAATGTTTCTTGTAAGTCTGGTTCAGTTATGATGAACACCTTTAAGTTTTGTTTGGAAAACTTCCTCTCCTTCTATTCTGAATGATATCCTTGCTGGGTAAAGTATTCCTGGTTGCACATTTCTTCTTTTCAGCACTTTGAATATATCATGCCACTGTCTTCTGGCCTATAAAGTTCCTGCTGAACAATCAGCTTATAGCCTTATGGGGTTCCCCTTGTGTGTAACTCTTTTCTTTTCTGTTTCATTTAAAGTTCTCTCTTTATCACTACTTTTTGACATTTTAATTATTATGTGTCTTGGTGTGCACTTCCTTTGGTTGATTTTGTTGGGGACTCTCTGTGCCTCCTGGATCTGGATATCTGGATATCTGTTTCCTTCCCCAGATGAAGGAAGTTTTCAGCTCATTTCTTCAAATAAATTTTCTGCTCCCTTTTCTCTCTCTTCTCCTTTTGGGATCCCTATAATATGAATGTTATTATACTAGATGATGTCACTGAGTTCTCTTAATCTACTGTCAGTTTTAATTTTTTTTTCTTTTTGCTGTCCAGCTTGGTTGCTTTCCATTATTCTGTCTTCTAGGTAGATGATAAATTCTCCTGCCTCTAATCTGCTGTTGATTTCCTCTAGTGTATTTTTATTTCAGTTATTGAGTTTTTCATTTCTGATTGGTTCTTTTTTATATTTTCTATCTCTTTGTTGAAGATCTCACTGAGACCCTCCACTCTTTTCTCAAGTCCAGTAAATATTTTTATAGCCATTACTTTGACTTATCAGGCTTATTGCTTATCTCCTTTCATTTAGCTATTTTGCTGTGGTTTTGTCCTGTTCTTTCACTTGGGACATATTCCTCTGGTTCTTCATTTTGTCTCTCTGTGTTTGTTTCTATGTATTAGGAAAGTTAGTTACGTCTCCTGATCTTGAAGGTAGTGGCCTTATGAAGAAGAGCTCCTGTTGTGCCTTGTAGCACAATGTCCCCTGTTCACCAGAACCAGATATTTCAGGGGTGTCTCCTGTGTGGGTTGTGTGTGCCCTACTGTTGTGGCTGGGTGGGCAGCATTTGCCTTCAGTCCACTTGTCCACAATGGCCCATTTTGCCTGTTGTGGGTGCACTGGGCAGGGTTTGGTCTCTGTGCTGTTAAGGGGCTAGTCTGGAGCTACTCTGGTCTTATAGTTGGGGGATATCAACAGTCAGACTAGATGTCTGCCCTCTGCTTGTTTGCTGGTATTGTGGTCACACCAAACTCCAGGGCACTCTCCCTGTGTTATCCCTGGAGAGGCTTTTGTTGGTAGGTGGGGCCTGTATTCAAACCAAATGCCTATTCTAGTCCATGTGTTGGGGCTGCAGTGACCCCAAACTACAGGGCTCTCTAAACCCGAGAGGTTTTTGTCGGTGGACGGGGCCAGCAGATCAGATGCTTACCCCCGGTTCATCTGCTGGGGCTGCAGAGGTACTGATCAACAGGATACTCTCTTTCCTGCCAGTTATAAGGTTTGGCTGCTGGGGCTACAGTTGAACTGGTGTGTGGTTTATCTTCCCCTCTCCTCAGGCAGGAGTCATTTTGGAGTGGTGCTGGTCCTTGCCAGGGCTGCTTGCAGGATAAAATGTGCCAGGAGCTGCTTTGGACAGATGTATGCCTAGTGGGGTAGGTTGGATGGGGTAGATCCACAGGAGAACACAGAGGCAGGGTGTGTGGTGTTAGCAAGGTAGGTGGAGAGTGTTCTCACTGGTTCCTGCAGGTGTCCTGGTATCTAGGCTGGGGATAGGGTGGACGTGGGGATGGCACCCACCAGCTTTTTTGTTCTTGAAGATGTCTCCTAAAGATCCCTGCCCCTCCAGCACACATTCTGAGATTAGTAAATAAATCTCCTTTCTGTATACCCAGGATGCTTTTCAAATTTCTTTATCTCAGCAGGGTTGTTTGTTATACTGTCTCTTTAAGGGCTCAGTTTCCTATTGCCCTCTGGCTCTCCCAGAGCTAAGCCTGTTGATTTTTTTTATTTTTTTTTTTTTTGAGAGAGGGAGAGAGAGAGTAGGGGAGGGGCAGAAGCAGAGGGAGAGGGCGAATCTTAAGCAGGTTCCATGCTGAGCATGGATCCCAATGTGGGACTCAATCTTTCAACCCTGAGATCATGACCTGAGCTGAAATCAAGAGGTGGACTCTTAACAGATGAGCCTGCTCATCTCAAAAGCCAGGTGCCTCAAAAGCCTGCTGATTTTTCAAGTACCCAGAGTTAAGCCCCACTGCATTTCAAAGCCAAGTATTATGGGGACTTGTCTTCCAAGTGCAGGTTCCTGTGTGGGGGGTGTTTGGTGGGGGTCTGCTCCTCTCCCTTCTCAGTGCTTGTGATGTCCCTTCCATTTGTGGTTAGTTTCACCAGGAGCTTGATACCTGACCATGTTTCCACCCTTCCTACCCTTTTCAGTGTGTCCTCTTCTCTTCAATTAACTGGAAAGTCTGTTGTGGCAGTCTTTGGGTGGTTTTCTTAGTTTGCTGCGCTGGTATGGCTGTTGTCTTGGGTGTATCTGTGGAATGAAGTGGTCTTAGGATTCTCCTACTGTGCCATCTTCCCAGACTCTAAATCGGGAACATGTTACTGACATTGCATCTAAAAGGTGTTTAGACAAGATATGGAAATATAACTCTACTTTAAAGTGTATAATGTCTCCTTTTAAAAATGAAACCTGTATTTATTTCTCTGTTACACAGTAAGAATTTACTCTTTGTGGAATAATGAATTAAATTGCATCTTTTTGACTAGTGATGAGGTCACGATTTAGCTACATATAACTTAAATGAAGGATGTTTCTTGCTGTTATATATTGGTCATGTTATTGATTGCTGAGTTAGTACATAGTTGCAAATATATATTTAATACTGGAGTGTCAGTTTCTCAAATAGCACATGAAATTTGCCATAAAAATTCATGTACAGGGGTATACTATCTTATTTTCCAGTTTGGCTATATCCTGTGTCTATGGGGAACATGATTATGAGAATATTATGTTCTCATTACATATACTAATACCTGGAGAAGTAATTAAGTATTTTTTAATGAAGTTAAGATCTTTTTATGGTTGCTAATTAATTGTCTTGACTATTTTAAAACATAGAATTTGTTGTTTTAAAATACATTTTAAATACACAAAGTATAGTATACTTAGCTGCTAAGTATAGAGAATTTTTACGTTTAAGATGGGCTTGTGTCCCAGAAAAGGAGCTATTAGCATAAATGATACAAGGAGAATATGGTATTCCCACATAGTTTTAATAGGACATTAGATTCTTAACATATCTTTAATGTGAGCGTAAGACCAAAGGGCCATAAGTCAGTCAAATCAGATAGTATTGTAGCTTATTATTCAACAAACTTTTATTAAATACCTACTAGATTACATTATGCTACTAAACAAAAAGATAACAAAATAAATAAGGCATAGTTTCTGTTTTCAAAAAGCTCAATACAGGACAGAAAGAACTTAGGGATCAGCATTTGGAATTTTGGTCCTCCCCTCCTTACTAGATATATGACTTGGGGCAAGTCATTTAATTACCTTTCAAAAAAATTTTTTTCTGAGGGTCAGCTTCCTTATCTTTAAGAGGGGGATGACAGTACCACTCCTGTAGTGTTGTAAACTTTAGAAGTAACATATTTATCTAGCACAGTGTCTAACTCATGGTGAGTGAATATTTACTGGTAGCTGTTACTATTATTGCCTACCTCACCAGGAGTTCTCAATAAACATTCCTGTTTTTTTTTTTTTCATTTTTGCTTACAACCCATCATCTACTATACTATACTACACTATACTATGAAATTTTAGTCACTATGATATATCATCTAAGATGCAGGAAGTGACCTTTGTTATCCCTACTGAAACCAACAAGTAGGTGAATGAAGGCTCATAAAATTCATCTTGACTTCTGAAAACAGATTTCAATGAGCTTACTTGAGTCAGAGCTTTCAAGGCTGAGACCTGTTTTCTGAAAACAAATTGAGCATATACGTGAAAGCCATTCATAAAGATCAAACTTTGAGTGTCTGAATACTAACTGATCATAAGTTTTTGAACTACAGCTCCAAAGGTTATATTAGTTTTTATTAGAAAAATTTTCATATATACATAAAAGTAGAAAGAATAATAATATCCACTCCTACTTACTACCAATTAGCCAGTTCTAATAGTTATCAACTAAAATGGGTTTTAACAGAAACATTTCAGTCAAAAATCTTATTTCCAACTCTAATTTGTTATTATTTAATCCCATATCATGCATGGATGTAATTAGAATACTACTTTAACATTTGCACCATAAGTTTCTTTTACTATTAATTCAGATTAATAGTCAAAGATTTGTTTTCTGTAAATATCATAAAATTATTTTTAGGACACATTTTTAAATCACAACATCAAAAGAAAAATGCATGGCTTTGTTACTTACTTAAAAAGGGAGGGGGTAAAGAGTTAAATATGCTGGGTAGAATATATTTTGTTCTTTGTTTTTAAGGTTTGGCTTGAGCAACAAGTTTGATACTGAATTTCCCTCAGTTCTAACAGGGAAGGTAAGTTGAGAGTTTGCTTTGAACTTTTCAATTCTAAAAGCATTGTTTTATAGCTTATTCAGTATTATGACAAATGCTTTGGCTCCCCAGTAATGATGGTAACAAGAGGCCAGGGTACTTGGAAGCTGTGTCATTAGTGACTGAAAGCTGTCACCATGACTACTAGCCTATGACCAGTTATCTTGCTCATTGTACATTAATGCCAGCCATTATTTGCTTATCTGTTCAGTTTTTCCAGTTTTGCCCTTTATTCTCAGCACCAGTAGCTATAATTGTTTTCATTTAGGTCCATAATCCCAATGTCTTTAGAGTTAACGAAGTTATAATTGTTTAACTTTGTGTCACTCTATTATTTTTAACGTGTCCTGCAGTATGATTTGTTATACATCAAAAGAATCAAATGTTTGGTCAGACGTTTTTCTACCTTTTAGATAGTTTGAGTTTCTAAAATTGGACTTGCTGCAATAAATTAGTACCTTTCTACTCCCTGGTTCCTCTACATTCAGTAGTATCTTCATGCTTGAGGTTCAGTATTCAAAGACTTCTTAGGATTTGAAACTGTGTTTGGAAAATCCTCTTACAATAGGAATGCTAACTTCTAGGCCCAAAGAAAAAGGCTTTGACTAAGGCAAAAAGTTACTTACACATGTTTGTCACTTGAGGAAATACAGAAGAAAGAGAAAAGCCATTATATTAAAAAATACTCAAAAATTTCCAAATGGTTAATAGCTGAATGCTATATAGGTGAAATGATGATTTGGGGTTAAAAGAAATTATCCTGTTCAATTTTAGTACTAGAACAATGCTACTTGTCAGTATAGAGTTGGTCATATTTTAAAATCATTCCATTCCCTAAAGGGCTTTTATGCAATTTACTGTTAAATTTTCTCATAATGTTAGTGAGAAAAGTGAGGTACAAATCCATGCCTACAATATGTGTAATAAAGGGGGGAAAATAAGCACATTAATAATTGTATAAAGAAATTCTAGAAGGCTACACATGGAACTAAATAAAAGTGGTTACCTTGATGGGAGAAGAGGAGAGAGATGGATGGAGGCAAGGGTAAGGATGAGATCATTTTTGGTATTTTGGTATTTAGTATTTGATTTTTGAACCATGTCACTATGTTACCTATTCAAACCTTAATAATTTGTCCTCTTGTTCTAAACTCTCTGAGAATGGGATAAAATGCATCTAATATTGGCTCCTTTTTGTCATGATACATTTTCTAGCTGCTTGCTTTTCACTTTTGGCCTAATCACAATCTTTTCCCCAGCTTTATTCAGAAGGGGGGAGAGAAAGACAGCAGAGTTATTTCTTTTCACAAGGGTTATCACTAAAATTATAAGAAATTCTATTTGATTTAACCCTGAAAGGTATTTTATACTTTATTTGCTTCCTTTACCCCCTGAAAAATGGAAGCTGGTTAGAGACGGTATAGAGTAGTTAAACTTTGAAATTAGATCTGGGTTGGAATACAGGGTCTATCACTTGGCTTTGTGGCCTTGAGCAAGCCACTTCTTTGAGCCTCAGTTCTTATGTGAATAATACCTCACTTCTTGTTGTGAGGATTAAATGAAAGAGAATGTATAAAATTTCGAGTGTACTGTCAGGTACTTATTAGCTTCCCAGTGTAAGTTTTTTTTTTTTTCCCACCAGTGTATCCTAGTTTCATCCTGATTATTTATTTCTCCAGTCTTTTTCTGACTAGATTTCAATTTTTAACTGCTTTTGCTACTTTTACGTTCTTTACAGTAAAGAAACAGTTTATTCACTGGTCCCATCAATAATCTATCCTTTTAACTGTTGACCTTTTCCGCCTCTCCTGATGTATAATGTCAAATCATTCCATATAATAAGCAAGTGGAAATAGTCCCTGGCTAAGTTAACAGAAAATATGTGTCCATTTACCTTTTTAGGATACAAAGAGCCCTTTGGTTTGATGTTTTGGCCTCACTCTCTAGAATGTTCTTCCTTCCTATCCTGATCATTTAGAATAATTTGCCAATTGAAGTAGCAGTTCAAACTTAGATTTGTTTTATATGAATTAATCATAAATATTTTCTCCAAAAGAAAAAAAAATAGCTGTGGAAAAATCCCTTGAATAATAACGTGTTTGTGGAAAGATGACAAATTCAATATTAAATTAAAGAGAATGTGAATTAAAACATCTCCAATGGAAAACTTGTTCTTTGTGTTTCCCTGGTGCTGCTGCATGTGTTGTCTGGGCACTTACATTCAGTTTTCTTACTGGTTTGTTTTTTAAAAGTTTGAATTACAAGTCCAAGGAATTCTAGAAAATTAATAATCAAAAAAAATGTCAGAGAACAGTTTCCAGGCACAAATGTATCCATCTTTGAAATTGGCCAGTTTTATATGCTCAAGGAATATTTAGAATATTTCTTCATACTTCTTCATTTCTTTCCAAGCCTTCTAAAACTAAAAACTTCACCATTGAAAAAGATAGTACAGTTTTTCTTTTAAACTAGAGTAAGAATGTTAAGCTGCTTTTGGTATGCATTTACAAAACGTATGATCTGAATATGAGCTGTTCTTAAAGATATCCTTTTTTTTTAGGTGACCATTTCTATAGCACATATCAATGATTGGGTATTTATTCTAGTGTGCATTATTTAAAGAAATGAGGCATAAATGATACTGTGATTTTTTTTCTTAGTTTTTTAGTGATGAAAACAACACTAACAGGAATTCTGAAAGTCTGATTTTTAAAAGTCACATGGTGATAACATGAGCTTTACTCATTTTTCTCTTCAATGAGACAATTTTTGTCCAGTAGGCACTGTTGTATTTGTATAGGTTATTATGAATTATCAAAATGCTTCTCTGATACCTGGGGGAATAGGCAAGAAGAATTACATTAGCCGGGAAGAAAAAAAAACCAAAAGGAAGATCTGAATTCCAAACTTAGCAGCCTTTGTGTAAAATATTTTAAAATGAATAAATGCAGTCTCTAAAATAGAAAAATATTCCTTTTACAAAATCAGTCTTCTGGCATGAATGGGATTCTAAATAGCTCTTATGCCTAAACTAAGCAAAATTGCATGGAGTTAATTCTGAAAACATAAAAAGCCATTTTGACAAGCTTCGTGGTTTAGTACTAATTTTGTGCCTATGTGTTAATGCTTCTTATACAAATAAAAAGTTAACCTTTTATATTAAGTGCAGAAAAGATTGTTTCCCCCATTTCACTAAAGATAAGTCTTCTCATGATAGGATATATCAAGCAGGTGCATACACACAGATTCTGGTGACCAGAAAATGAAAGAACCACTGAACTTAAGAAAAAAAATGAAAGCTTCTGGCCCTCAGCTTGAAACAATTAAATGGTGTTATGAGATCAGTGTGCAGTGTTGGGGGAAACCTAAGCCATAAAATCGACCATTACTATTGTGATCCAGTATGACAAGTGATTGATAGGGTTGTGTTCCCCATGATTGAAGGAGGAAAAACAGTCTTGCTGGGTTTTGCTTATATTTTCTTCTGTTTGCAGAGTCTCTTGCATCCTATTATAAAATATTATGAACCTTTCCCCCACCTTTATGATGTGGCTTTCTTTTTTCTTTACAAGAAAGTCAAAAGGAATTAAACTTTCTTTACAACCTGCCCTTCAGCTAGAAAGTAAAAGGCTTCCATCTAACTTTCATTACTAAAGATACTCAGTTATATGGAAGTAAATGAGTAAAACTCTGACGCCACACAGTTAACTAAACATTTTTTCACAATGTTTAAATCGGGAGTTAACCAATTCTCATTTCCTATGTCTTTATCATCTGTTTTATGACTTTTACTGTCATTCAAATACAGATTTTTTTTCCAAAGACAATCCTGGCTCCCTTTTAAAGGCAAAACACAGATTTTATTTTATTGTTTGAAATTCTAGTAGTTTTCCTTTCAATATATTTATCTTATGACTTCAAAAAATTTGAATTCTCATTTTTAGTAACATCAGAATTGTAGTTTTTAGTTTGCCCATGGTAACAGAGTACTAATGGACAGGATTATGTGTTAAAGGTGGAAAGTATTGGCAGGAAAGAAGGAAAATTGTTACTTTTTTTTTAAAGTTTTGGTTAATTTATTTCCAGAAGGATGTAATAAAAGAAAAATTTTATAACAAATTTTATGTATCTTGGCATATATTTTATTCACAATATTTTAAACAAAAAGCAAGTTTTACATTTTGGACTGATTAGTTTCTGGCTTCCAAATAAATATTCTAAGTAAAAATTTTACTTTTTAAATAAAAATTTAAATTCTAATTATAAGCACTTAAATTTGTAAGTGCACAGATTTAATAATTTTATGATTTACATTTACCAGATTTTTAAAAATGTGTTAGTGTTTCTAGATACACAATTCAAAGAGAATTGGTAGTAATGTTATATTACAAATTAGAGCTAAATATATTTTCCTTATTTTAATTTCTATTTCATTGCTCAGTGATTGACTAGGGAAAAGAAGTTGAGTATCACTGTCTGAGAGGTAAATCTGAAGATAGCAACTTGGCATCTGTTTTTTTTTTTTTAAAGATTTTATTTATTTATTTATTTGACAGAGAGAGACACGGCGAAAGAGGGAACACAAGCAGAGGGAGTGGGAGAGGGAGAAGCAGGCTTCCCACGGAGCAGGGAGTCTGATGCGGGGCTCGATCCCAGGACCCTGGGATCATGACCTGAGCCGAAGGCAGACGCTTAACGACTGAGCCACTCAGGCGCCTCTGGCATCTGGTTTTTTAAAAGGACATCTCTTTTTTTCCTCTAAAGAACTGAAGAACTGAAGAGCATTGAATTTGCATTAAAAATGTAGCTGATTGACCATCACAGGCCACGCCCACCTGTGCACCTTTCTGGACACCTTCCACTGTCCCCAGGTGCCATCACGCATCTGCCCAGCCAGATGCCCACAGGTGCCTTTGCACACTGCACTCAATTGCACACCCCTAGCAGCCCTCATGGGCCATGCCCAACCACACACCCTCAGC